CCAGGAAGACTGCAGTTAGTGACATAGATGTAAATCCCTGCCCTCATGGAGCTTACATTCTAGTGAGGAGAGAGAGAAGAAGCACTAAGAAGCAAAACGTAAGCAAGAATTGCCTATTTACAGTCCTTTCTCACTTGGTGTGGGCCTTTCATTAATTCTGCCAGTGAATGTTTACTGAGCATCAGGAAAATGCTAGAGTAGGGGATGGGAACCTAGGGTTCTTGTCCACAGGAGTGCACAGTGCTGGCAGGGACAGGGTAAGTGGTTAGGGGAGGGGACAGGGTAATACAAGGGGCTTAATGGCTCTATAAGAAAAGGCTGATTTCAGATTTTTTCAGGAGCACATAAAAATAGAGCAGCTCTAATTGTAAGTCAAATGCTATTAGCAGTAGCATAGCATGTAAGACTTGCAGGTATATGGAGAAATGGGTCGTAGGTGCCATACTGCTTTACAGCAGTACTGGGCTTTGTGCCCAGTGCCTGGAACACACTGGGATGCCTCTGATGTCACAGCTGACGGAGACCTCATCAATCACTGGGGCTTCCAGAGTTTTACACAGTGTCCAGAGGGTTCCAAACCACTAATAGTTTAATTGAAGAGCTCGATACATACTGAAGCACTATCCACTTTGATGAAGCTATCAATCCATTTAATGAAATCACTTAACAGCCACCAAAATAAATAAGTTAATGTTGTAGCACACTCAAATTTACTTATATTTGATACAGTGTCTGGAACAGGATAGAAAGCCTAGAAATAAACCCACACATCTATGGTCAACTAACCTATGAAAAGGAAGCAAGAATATATAGTGGAGAAAAAGACACTCTCTTCAGTAAGTGGTGCTGGGAAAACTGGACAGCTACATGTAAAAGAATGAAATTAGAACATTTCTGTAACACCATACACAAAAATAAACCCAAAATGGATCAAAGACCTAAATGTAAGGCCAGACACTATTAAAACTCTTAGAGGAAAACACAGGCAGAACACTCTGTGACAGAAATCATAAATCACAGCACTATCTTTTTGGATCTACCTCCTAGAGTAATGAAAATTTTAAAAAATAAACAAATGAGACCAAATTAAACTTAAAAGCTTCTGCACAGCAAAGGAAACCATGAACAAAATGAAAAGACAACCCACAGAATGGGAGGAAATATTTGCAAACAAAGCAACCGACAAGGGATTAATCTCCAAAATATACAAACGGCTCATGCAACTCTGTCAAAAAAAAACCCAATCAAAAAACGAGAAGACCTAAATAGACATTTCTCCAAAGAAGACATACAGACGGCCAAAAAGCACATGAAAAGATCACTCATGTGATCACTAATTGTCAGAGAAATGCAAATCAAAACTACAGTGACATTTCACACCAGTCAGAATGGCCATCATCAAAGTGTACGAACAATAAATGCTGAAGAGAGTGTGGAGGAAAGGAAATCCTCCTACATTGTGTTGGTGGGAATGTAAATTGGTACAACCACTATGGAAAACAGTATGGACATTCCTTAAAAAACTAAAAATAGGACTACCATATGACCCAGCAATCCCACTCCTGGGCATATATCTGGAGAAAACCATAATTCAAAAAGATACGTGCACCCCAGTGTTCATTGCAGCACTATTTACAATAGCCAGGACATGGAAGCAACCTAAATGTTCATCAACAGAGGAATGCATAAAGAAGGTGTGGTACATATATACAATGGAATATGACTCAGCCATAAAAAAGAATGAACCTATGCCATCTGCAGCAACATGGATGGACCTAGAGATTTTCATACTAAGTGAAGTCAGAGAAAGACAAATATTTGATATCACTCATGTGGAATCTAATTTTTAAAAATGATACAGATGAACTTATTTACAAAACAGAAACAGACTTACAGATATTGAAAACTTATGGTTACCAAAAGGAAAATGTGGGCAGAAGGGATAAATCAGGAGCTTGGGATTAACATACACACATTTCTATATGTAAGACAGATAACCAACAAGGACCTACTGTATAGCACAGGGTACTCTACTCAATATTATGTGATAACCTGTATGAGAAGAGAATCTGAAAAAGAATGACTATATGTGTATATATTATAACTGAATTACCTTACTGTACACCTGAAATCAACACAACATTGTAAATCAACTATACTCCAATAAAATTAAAAAAAATACTTGATCCAGTGTCTTACATGTAAAATCAGAGTTTTGATTTGGATAATAGGGATACTAGCTATTATTTATTAATTTCCTAACTTTGGTCCAGTTACCATGCTAAATGCTTTATATACATGTTTTCATTTAATCCTCTTCACAACCCTATTAGATTTGATATTGTCATCTTCATTCCCATTTTAAGGATGAAATCACAGAGGTTTGAGAGAGACTGAGTAACTTGCCCAGCAGCTGACTGGGCAGGGAGCCCACAGCCTGAGCCTTCCCAACTGGACTGCACTGCCAAGTTCTCTGCAGAACAGGGGAGTAAGAACAAAACTCATCTGCATAACTGAGGCTTAATTCATTACTTTTCTGGAGCCTGTTTTTAAAATATTCTGGAAAACACGGTGGAATCTTTTTATCAGTTAGATGCAAGTCTGAAGTCCAAGTGAGAACCAGGAATTGTATTAGAACAGACCTGACACAATTGAGCAGCTCTCTATTGAGTATTTTAAAACTACAGATGTACCATACCAGGACTCCAAAGGTATGGTTCAAATCCTGGCTGTGTGGCTTCTAGTGAATCCCTTTCTCTCTCTCGGCCTCGATTTTGGTGTCTATAAAACAGGGAGATTAAACTAGATCAGGGGGTTCTAATTTGATTTTGACCACAGAGCTCTTTTATTCAAGCAAAATCTTACTTGGAATCTAACATATAAAACACACTAAAAGCTGAGTTTGTCAGGTTGTTTTTTTTTGAGGGGGGACGGTCCCCACAGGCCAGCTCCTTGCTCACCTCCTCAGCCCTGGAGGCCCCTCCCGGAGCCCTAGCACAGAGCACGCAGTTCCAAAAAGCACAGGTGGAAAACCACTGCCCTGAATCACCTCTCAAGACGCTGTGCTCCTCGCCACCCAGACGTGCACAGCGTCTGTCACATAGTAGGCACTTCATAAATATTTGTGAGGAAACGAAAGAAATATTACTTTGCCTTTTTGGAAATGTGGATACGTAGTTTTCATTTCCTCTGCTGATTGACCCAGGTAGTTCAAGTGCTAAGATGGATCCTGGGGGAAACCAAATGTTACATTTATGGAAAAGCTGCTTTTAGATATTTAAAGTGGCTTCCAGGTTCTGCGTGGCCATAAGTTAAGGGTCTGTCAGCACTTCCATTATGAAAACCACTTTGTGGTTTCATAACTTAGCCGTAAAAGTTTGCTTCAGGCTATCCCTCGGCATACAAATTGAAAACCTTGCTTTAAGCCAAAATGTGGGAATTAGAAAACAAACAATTTATTGGTTTCAGACGTAGTTTTGTACCCGTCTTAACCAAATAAGATTTATTATGTGGGCAATTAGACGGAACTAAACCACTTGGTTCTTGAAGAATAAAAAAGGAGGAAAATAGCCAAACTATTTATATTTTAAAAGTTGTGCCTGGACATGATCAGTCATTCTTTTGGGTCCTATTTTTATCAGTTACTTTGTCCCCTGCATGATGAGACCTGGAGTCTCTTTACACGTTCTTTTTCCTTCTTTTTTTAAATAAACATTTTCTGTTAATGACATCAGAATGATAAAATAGCCTTGTTTCTACCAAAAAGCAAGCAACATAAATGAGAATAATGTCAAAAAAAAAAAAGCTTAATCCTGCTTTTGGTAGATACTTTGAGAATGGCAAGGGCTCATTTTAATGAACAAAAAAGACATCAGTAATGAGTAAAATAGGGAAGGAGATTAGACATTGTTCCTCAATGTTAGAGCTGGTTAGAGCTGAGAAGTCACCTAGTCAACTGACTTAACAGATTGGGAAACAGAGGCCTCAGCAAAGACAGACCAGCCTGAACACATCCTGTGACTACTAACCTCAAGGATGAGAACCAGGTCTTCTACAGCCCAGTCTGGCGATCAGCTCATCCCTGTTTCCCACCCATGTAACCATTCAAGGCCCGGCGCCTACATTTTTCTGACCTACTAATGTCTAACATCACACACACACACAAATGCCCCTAGTTACATAAAAATACACCTTCCCACGCACAGTGTATGAGGCACTTTGTGACTTTGGTTACCTCAGTCACAAGCTATGTACCAGCAGTGTCCTTGTTACAAACTTGTTTTCTGTCCTCTTTGGGCCAAGCACAGTTTTGAGCACCTAGAGACAGTGGGTTGGTTACTGGGTCTCGCTGATCTGACTATGGAGAGACCCAGGTACTGGGCTTGTAAGCAGCTTAATAACACATGGCTCAGTCCTCTAGCTCAGAAATGCAACTGAACAAACCAGGTTATAGTTACTGTTTATCTGCTCATGACTGAAGCGGATCATGTATTTCTGAATCTGGTCCAATGCTCGACAACACTCAGTACTGGGGAGCAGACAGATTTTGTTCAAGGTTTAGCGTCTCCCTCCTCTGTTACTAAAGCGCACCATTGAAAATGTCTGCCCGCATGTCTGACTTCTCTTGCAGACTGCACTCTGGGGCAGGAACCCAATCTCATTCCTCTCTCTATCATCACTGTCTGGCACAGGGAAGGTACTCAACAGATATCTGTTGAATGAACAAATGAATGAATAAATGAAGGACCAGATGCATGCATTCACTGATAAGGCCCATCTCTCTCTGAAGTGGCTTCCCCAGGTCTCTCCTTCTCCACCCCTTGTGCCCTGCACCATCTCCCCACTCTGCAGAAGCCAGTCAGACCCCTCAGCAGCCACGACTTCTCTTTGCAGAAGTACTTTTGAGAGAAAGAATGCAATTCTGGGGATAACAGCCCAGGAAAGTATTTTCTTAAGTCAAAGGGGACTTTGAGTTGGAAAACCAGGAAATTCTTAAATACCTGGGTAGAAGATCACAGCCCACTCCAACCTCTCTGGTTTCCACTTCAGTCTTGGGCTGGGTTTCTATTAAATAGTCCAACCTGCTTTGTAGTTCATTATTCTAGAGATGAGGAAAAAAGTACTTTGAGTAAAGCAATTACGTTCCCCCACAAATACGTATGATACAATTTATATGTATTATCTGGATTTCCCCCTGGACACAGACATCTATCATAATGTATTTATTAAGCGCCTCTTACACAGTAGGAATTGAAGAACTACATTGATTGAATCCTTACAGATAGAGTGCATAGACATACATATGTATCCAATTTTACCTAAATGGAAACAAACAAAATATCCTACTCTATACCATTATTTGCTGCTTTTCCCCACTCAACAATTTGTTGTGACTCTTTCCATGTTTATTAGTTTTCTTTTTATGCCAACAAATTATTCTAATGGGTTCATAGCATTCCATTGTATGGATCTACATTATTTATTTAACCAGCCTCTTATTGATGGCATTTAGATATTTATCACTTTTTCTGCAATTATAAATAAGGTACAGCTCATGTTTTAATACTCCCTCATTAAACTATAAAATGAGTAAGTCTATTAATTTACTGGGAAATACCTCTGTAACTTAATAATTAGTATTTCATACGTGTGGAAAATTCAGAATCTCAAACATATAAAGTAGAACAAGTTCCTTGGGATTAAAATTAGCATATTCTAAATAGTTTCTTTCAGGCAAACATTACATAGGTTCATGATTAGATGCTCAGGAATTGGAAATTTACCCCGTGGGGAAATGAAGGACAAGGGAGCAAGAGTGTTGAGGGTTTTGAAATGAAAATAGATGAAGTGTTGGACTTCCCTCGTGGCACAGTGGTTAAGAAACTGCCTGCCAATGCAGGCGACACGGGTTCGAGCCCTGGTTCGGGAAGGTCCCACATGCCACGGAGCAACTAAGCCCATGCACCACAACTAGTGAGCCTGTGCTCTACAGCCTGCATGCCACAACTGCTGAAGCCCACGCACCTAGAGCCCGTGCTCCACAACAAGAGAAGCCACTGCAATGAGAAGCCCGCACACCACAACAGAGTAGCCCCCACTCGCCGCAACTAGAGAAAAGTCCGCATGCAGCAACAAAGACCCAATGCAACCAAAAATAAGTTAATTAGTTAAATTTTAAAAAAATAGATGAAGTGCTGGTGCTTAAAATCCAAAGGCCAAAAAGACACATTTTTTAAAATTCAGAGATTTTTGGATTTTTTTTAAAGTTATTCTATATATTTTCTGTAATACTAGACTAAATTTTCATGAGGCAGTGACCGTAACGATCTTTCTGGCTGTATTACCAGAGCATGCTTGGTATGTAGGAGACGCAAGATAAATATTTATTGAATAAATGTATATATGCTTTTAAAATGAGCATTTTATTTGCATAACTAGAAACAAATTAAGCATTTTTTTTTTTTAAGTTGGAGCTGAAGCTAAGGCACTGTATTCTAAGACACTAGACAACACATGAAAGTTGAAAAGTTCTTTGGAAACAGAAGCTCATTTGTTTTGAAAGAGCTCCTGCTCTGAATGTCTGATACCAAGGTGCAAAGCAGCAGCTCTGGTACAAACTCATGTTCTGCAGGATGTAAAGGTCTAGGAATCCCTTCCGATAAATGGGAAACAGTATAAAGGAAGAGAATGCATTCCAGGTTCCCTAGCAGCTGACAAGCCATGACAGATCTATGGGCTCTGCATCTGTCACCTGGTGCTCAGTATGGGAGAATGGTGCTGGCTAACTGCCAGGGGTTCATCACCATTTACACACACACACACAGACACACACACACAGCTTCACGGAAAATATCTGAACTCTTCCATTCATATGGAAAGAGAAAAGCAGAAGAGGCCTGCCCATTAACAAGCTTCAGCAGTCCTACTGTTTTAACCTTTCTTAATGTAGACTTTAATCATGAGGATTTCTTAAAATGCTGGGCTGAGTTCCTATAGTTAGGGGGCATAAAAGACAAGGTTAGCAAGCGTGCCCCAACTGGTATACAGTGAATAGTGGACTGGTAGCCCCAATTCCTTTGTTCTATTCCAGAGGAACTCTATGTGTACGCATCAGCTATCCACTGAAGCACTGATACAAAAACTTATACTCTTAAAAATGTAATACTATCAGTTAAAAAAAAAAAAAAAAACCCTGAGTATGTATCAGGTAGTATGTAAAATCAGGTAGGGGGAGGATGTTGGCAGTTAAAGAAATAGGTCATGATTTGCAACCTTTGAGGAGCTCAGTCTTTTGCAGGTAGAGACACCTAAGCAGAAAATCACAGAACAAAGTCACAAGTCCCATGCCAGAGGGACCTAGAGAATATTATGGGGTGATTCAGAGGGGATGCCTAACTCAAAATGGGGAAGAAGACTGAATTGTCTGTGAAGATTTCCTGGAATTATGCAAGGGGAAGAGAGTAAGGGAAACAAAAGGGATAAGTAATCCAGAATTATGGAAACATACCAGATTGAGAACAGGCATCTGACGGCAGTATACAGGAGGGCAGGAGTTGGTTATAAAGGACTATGTATGCCATTACCAAGACTCTACACCCAATCCTATAAGACCAAGGTTAAGATTTTATTTCAAACACTTGGGCTCTGAGTGGAAATTATATTGGAAGGAAATAAAACTATAGGCAAGGAAGATCAATCAAGGAGGTCATTGCAATTTTCCAGGTAGAGTGAGAGCTGCACTTCTAGTATATAGGAGTAAGCACTTAATGAATAGATCCTCCTTCAAAGAACAGCTATCAACCTTGGACAAAAGATAACTGCTGAGGTCTTTAAAGACTCAACAAGGATGGGCAAGTTTTAGAGGGGAGGTAAAGCTTGGAGCAGATGACAAGCACTGAATGGGTTCTCTGTGATTCATTTGTTTTTGTTTGCAGCTTTGCCCAAGGGCAGTACAGTCATGGTGCTGGCAGCACAGACACAGTAAAAATTCAATAGAAAAATCATCTTTCTGGTAGAAGAAAACCAGTAGGAGTCTATGGGATAGAAGAATAACCAGGGTTACCAAGAGTAAGGGGGAAGCCAAAAAGGAAGGGTCAGAGAAGACTGAAATTCTGAATTCTGTATATAAACTCAGTTTGAGTCTCTGGCAGACCCCTTAACCACGTATGTGTGGGGCAAAGTAAAAGAAGTATGCAGCCAAGGCTTAAAGAACTGAACTGAGATCTAAGCCATCACCCACTACATTATGGCAGGGTGCAACTGAGTCTAACCAGATTCTTTACCTTTTAAAACAATTACAAGCCTATTTTCCTTTACATCACTAATGAAGGAGTAAAAAAAAAAAAAAAAAAAACCAGAAAGAAATAGAAAATATAAATAGAAAACAAATGGTATTTAGAAAAATACAATGCCTGAAATTTAAAAATCACTAGATTGACTTAAGAATGGATATGACAAAGGAAGGAGTCAGTAGTAAACTTGAGGACACAGAGACACATTAATAGAAATCAATCAAAATAAGATAAAGAAAATGTTGAAAATAATAAATGGAACTTCATGGAACTGTGGGACAATTTCTAAAAGCCTAACATAGAGATGCTGGAATCACAGAAGGATAGAAGGGAGAAACTTGAGAAAAAAATATTCAAAGAAATAATGGCTAGGAAAAAAGAAAGAAAGAAAACCACTTACATCTCCAGATACTTTATTTTGGGGGGCGGGGCGGGTGGGAGAAAAGAAATAATGGCTGAAATTTTCCCATATTTGGTGAAAGACATAAGTATACAAATTCAATAATCTCAGCAAACCCAGACAGAATAAATTCAAAGAGAAGCATACCTTGGCAAATCAGAGTCAAACTACTGAAAAACACAAAGAAAAACCTTGAAAGCCATCCTGTTACATATAGGGGAATGATCATTTGAATTACCAAAAGTTGCTCATCAAAAACTACGAAAGCCAGAAGGGAGTGAGTACTAAAAGAAACTGTCAACCTAGAACTCTATATATTTCAGTAATGAAGGTGAACTAGAGGCCTTACTTTCAAATAAGAAAAACTAAGTGAATTTGTCCCCAGCTGGCCTGCTCTATACAAAATGCTAAATAAAAGTTCTTCGGGCTGAAGAGAGATGATACTAGAAAGAAACTCAGATTTTCAGAAACGAGTAAAGAACATCAGAAATAAATACTATATGAGTAAACATAAAAGAAGATTATTTTCTCTTAATTTCTCTAAAATACCTATGACTGTTAAAAACTATAACAATGTACTGTGGGTTTATAGTATATATATATATACTCTCATATAATGCATGAGATAACTCTCATATACTCTCATATAATGCATGAGATAACTCTAAGAGCAGGGGAAGGGGTAGATGGACCTTATCATTGCAAGACTTCTACATTTTTCATGAAGTGGTACAATATTACCTATAAGTGGACTGTGAACACATAATGAAGTATATTGTACTACCTAGAGCAACCACTAAAATATTAAAGACACAGAAAATGCCAATAGATAAATTAAAATGGAATTCTAAAAAATACTGGAATAATCCAAAAGAATGCAACAGAGGGGAACAAGACAAACAAAACAAACCAGAGGGACTAAATAGAAAACAAATAATAGGGACTTCCCTTGTGGCACAGTGGTTAAGAATCCACCTGCCAATGCAGGGGACACCAGGGTTCGAGCCCTGGTCCAGGAAGATCCCACACGCTGCAGAGCAACTAAGCCCGTGCACCACAACTACTGAGCCTGCGCGCCACAACTACTGAAGCTCGTGCACCTAGAGCCCTGCTCTGCAACAAGAGAAGCCATGGCACAGAAACAAAGACCCAACGCAGCCAAAAATAAAATAATAAAATGAAATAAAATAAAAGGTAATCAAATGATAATAAAATGGCAGACCTAAATAAACTGAGCCATATCAATAATAATTGTCAATGGACAGTATACTTCAATATAAGACAGAATATCAGAATATAAAAAAAAAAGCAAGACCTAACTATATATTGTCGATAGGAGATGTACTGAAATATTTACCTTAAATAGAGAGACACAGATCAGTTAAAAATAAGTGGATGGAAAAAGATATA